TAGTCTGGTAGAAGTCACTACGACCCAGAAGACATAAGTAAAAGAAAAATTCTTAAATTTTCGTGCGACAAATATTATATTTCTTCACTACGTGTTGAATAATGTCAAGGAATGGTGGCAGAAAATGTGAAAGCGGAAACAGCACGTACTTAACTCTTTATAATAATATGTCATCCGATTGCACACAATAAATACAAGTACAAATAGGACACTTAATTTTTTAGTTAATCTGAAACATCTGCCTGCTCAAAACACGTAATCGATTGAAATTCAAATTACACACATGGTCATAACAAAATAGCGGCATTTTGTTGAAGAAAACATGTAATTTTGCTTTGTTTAGGTCAAAAGGCGAGTAATTAACCAAAATAATTTTGAGATTGACGTAAACTGTTTTCTGGATATTATCCATCGTCCAAGACTAAATAAAATCAATAAAAACTACGACGTTTCGGATATGGGAGTCTATCTCCGTCTCCAGGTAAAATCTCCGAAACGTCGTGGTTTTTATTGATTTTATTTAGTCTTGGACGATGGATAATATAAAGAAAATAGTTTACTTCAACAACGCACCATCGTAACAAAATTTCAGAATTATATTTTGAGATTATTTAAACGTTAACGTATCTAAGATAATTTTAGAATGATCGGCTGATCCCAGCCACTTAAGAAACAACAGAAATACAAGGCCTATAAGAAGCCTCGTCATAAAAATACTATAGCTACTGTTGCTACCGATTGTTTTAAATTTAACTTGGGATTGAAAGAGAGGGCGTGTTGCAGAAGCTTGGCTTTCCACCAATTCACATTGAGTGGGTTCGGGTTTGAGCAGCTGTGAAGAGAGAGAGAGAGAGAGAGAGAGAGAGATAAGATCTATAGCAGAAGACTCGGAGCAAAGAGAAAATTGGTGGGAGAGAAGTGAGAGACACTACGATTTCTGGGGAGAGAAAGAGCATCTTACAGTTAGAAGGTTCCCAGGTAATGCCCGCTTGTCCTTCTAGTAAGGATAAAGCAAAAGTGAAAACGTTAGGGCGATAATTAGTGACAGTTTGCTGGCAGAAACAACGGAAATTTTGAATTGCTTATTATAAGCAACTTGGAACTTGGGAACCATCTCATCAGTTGCTTAAAGACACAGGAAAACCAAGAAAACTTGTGTGTCGAGATGGCTTGAGCAGCGGTCGTCACATAGCTTCGAATGCACCTTTCCTGTTCATGACGCTTATTTTTGGGGCAAGTGCCGTGCGCAATGGAACAGGGCATGGTGTACGTAATATTCGATGATCGTGGCCTATTGAAACGTTTATGGTTGCTATAAGTTACTCAATTACGAAGAGCTTCAAGAATATTATTAATGTACGCTGCTGTCACACATTGGACTTCCCCGGCGATCAATAACTTTACTGACCACGCGTTTGGAATTAAACCTTTCGGCTTCTATCTAATCTCCACCACTGCAGTCGTGGAAAAGATAAGGACAAGCACGACAGACCATGCAGAAAAGGAAATCACAGTGCCCTTTGCAGCACGGATCAGCATGTTGCAACACTAAATACAGAAATACCCCTCTAAGACCTCAGCAGGCCTATTTACAGCAAAACGTAAAAATATAACTCCTTAATTTCAGGTTACGCTGTACTTCAAGTTAGTCTTCTGGACCAAGACTGCCACAGAAGTATCATAGCAGTACGAGAGAAGAGGGTCCAGAGCAGACTACAGAAAAGAGGTTCCCACAACGACCTGCACTCTTAAATCCAGAAGTAGCAGCATCTTTCAGGCATTCGTCTTTATTTCTGCATGTATGTGCGTGTCTGTGTCTGGTATACAAGAGAATCCTCCCAACAAGCTGTGAGCGTTATACCAAAGGTCTATTCCTATCCGACAAGTTGCAGTAAAACGTGCAGTCCAAATTCCAACACACTCGCGTGAAACGTAATCAAAACAAACGTCCAAGATGCATATAGAAGTTCAAGTGGCTCTCAATTTCGTCATCTCATACTTGTACAACAAACTCCCAAGACGGAGGGTAAACATCTTCGGAGAAGAATTGGAGAAAGCACTGAAGGACAAATTCAAGGGTCACTGGTACCCAGAGAAACCTTTCAAAGGGTCGGCATTTCGGTGTCTGAAGACTGGAGACCCGGTAGATCCAGTGCTAGAGCGTGCAGCCCGCGAGAGTGGAGTTCCTATCCAGGATGTGCTGGAGAACTTGCCCCAAGAGCTGGCCGTGTGGGTGGATCCAGGAGAGGTGAGCTACCGCATCGGCGAAAAGGGCGCTGTCAAGGTTCTATTCAGCGAGCTGGCAGACCCACATGATGATTCCTCTGCAGATCGAGAGGTCACTAAAACCTTCAACCCAGAAGCACAGTGCTTCAGACCGATTGAGGCTGTGGGCTCAACGTTAGGAAGCCTTAGTCTCTCCCCAAACAAGTCTTCATCTCCATACTCCGGTGTGTCAACCGGCACAGTCGTAGGTCCAGTCAGAGTGCAGGCAGTGTCTGCTGTGCCCGTATCAGCGGGTGGCGGCCAGGGGGTCGCAGTGACTTCAGGCTCGGGGACAACCACGGCTACCTCCTCAGCGTCGTCGCCTACCCCACTGACGGCTCCCTACAAGGGATCCCCCAGCCCGGTGACGTCTTTCATCCCCCGATCTACAGCACCGCTCACCTTCACTACAGCCACGTTTGCACAGACCAAGTTTGGAAGCACCAAGTTGAAGACCAATACCAAACGAGCCAATAGGTAAGACGCCGAAAAGTTCACATTTAATACGCGTGAAGTGTATTTTAGTCCCCTCTTTTAGAAACAATAACAATATTACGTAGCAGAATAGAAGCAGTCAAAATGCTAGATTTATATAAACTGTCTTTAAATAGCAACGAGCCAAGGAGTCAGTAATAATGTTGAGAATTACGTGTTTTCAAAAATCTTATAATTCTCCATACGTGTTTCTAAATACCATTCTGTGAAGGCACGTTGTGACACGGAGGTAAAGTCCCATCCATACATTCAGCACTTCGACGCCGGGCGCAGGCGAGTTATCTTTTTCAAGTCCTGCCCATATTTAATCATGAGTACCTGTGGGATGCGTGCAACTACGGGTATATTTTCTGCATTTCCGAACAGGTGCTGAAGAATAAATATTTCACTTACAGTTTGTTAAGAGACTGTAAAAACCTTTAATACTTGATTAAACCTCAGTCGTTCTGATTATCAGTACCAAGAAAAATGTATCAGACTCGCCTGGTATTTTGCACAAGAAGCTTGTCTGATTAACTATCGTAGTTTAATTAAGATGCTTCCCCAATTGCTATAACTTAAGAATAATTATCTGAAATTATTAATTAGGAAGGATGTGGAGGGAAATGGCAAAGGCGTATTTTAAAGTCCTTTGCCAGAGTCTACGAACTAAGACATCCCCCCCCCCCCCAAAC